GAACTTAGTGGCGCGCACACAGATTATTTTCTGATTATATGGAGCAGTCGGAGGAACAGACACTAATCCCCATGGAAAATAAATTCCAGAGAGATATCACTATTATTTTCTGTGGTGTTCAGGAAAAGAATTTGTGACTTCAGGAAGGAGCGATCATCAGAAATTTGACTTGTTCAGAAATATATGTTAATATTATGATCCTAATTTCGATATCAGTGGCTTAAATATTTACGAAATCCTTTGTGATGAAATTAGTAAGGAAAGGAAACGAAGGAAAAATGTGACCTTTAGTAAATTTGCACTTCTCATGCAATGGATATTTTTTCGTAGATTATCTTCAATACTGCCATATTTTTCTCTGATAACACAAATCCCATACCGAAAATGCAAAGAAACCACTCTTTATCGAGACATTAGACTAACAAGTTTGAAACCTCTCAATATTCTTTTTTGTTCTTCTTTCGGGTGTTCAATTAACAGCTATACTTGCCCAGACAAACTCGACAAGCCCAGTCAGCACATGCTTTCGTTGTCAACCTCGAAATATATCGAACGGCACTTTATCGAAACTCGTTTGTCTATTCATCGGCAAAGCTCTGGAATTCATGCCTTCCTATCCTCTCTAGGTAGGCACTATGTTCCTCGAACATTATAGGTATTCCTTCTCGTGCGCTTCAAATAAAAAAACGCTGCAAATGGGAGACGCAAGAATTCACCTTAGGAGTGCATGCATATATGATCTTCAGACCAATCCTTCTGAAATACGTTCCTGTGAAATCATTTGGATGATGCACTTGGGTAACTCAATCGGTTAATAACTTGATGAATGATATAACTTCAATTCATTCGAGATATTCATATCGCACAGCAGCTCATTTCAACTATCGATTTCAAAAACAGTTTGAATAAGGAAGAATATCATTCAAAATTTGGAAGGATGGTTAGGGTAACGTATTTTCGTGTAAATACCCCAATACGGGTGAAAGTGAATTCTTGCACCCCGTATATTCGCATCAACGTATGTCTTTGATCGTTATTAATGGCTGTCCAGCTGATGATGCTTTACTGAAATTGAAATATGTAGAAAAACAACCAAAAATATTGTCTCTTGTCAATTTTGGAATGGAAGGACTCCTGGACAGAAAACAAGCTGAATTGTTCCCAAAGCGCAAGGAAAAAGAAGTTAAAATATCACGATAGATAGATATTCATTCACATTTTCGCAATGAAATTCGTATTCTTATGTGTTACGTGCAAATGTACCTGATACTGAATCATTCAATCCTCTTACTGGTCTAAATATTAATTTTGACTTCAGAGCTTGTTTTTGATAGAAATGAGTTCGTTGTCATAGCTGAAATGTCGCGTGGCAAACATTCATAATTACGGTCCTGCCCACGTTCCGAACAACGCCTGTTCTTGTTCTTAGCTGGTCGAGTAATTAACACGCACCGGAAGTGATACATCATGCCGTAATAATGACCAACACCAGAATATGTTGCCTATCCTCTTAATCTTCTTATTCTTTCGCGAGAAGATGCCAACTCGTACCTATCCCTTGTCTTTGGATATATCTGCAGCTTGCTGAATATGTAGTGCAAGTGCATCCACTCCCACTTAGGTGCCCGTATCTCGCGGATAATTATACTTCCAGTTGATTTGATTTCTTGCGGTTTTTCAGGCTGAACTACTGGTTCATGAAGAGTTTAGTTTTTGTTGGTGTCGTTCTTATGACACCTAAAGAGTTGGATAACCTCTAGAAGGGTCTCACACTTTTTATCCGTTTCCAATTATGCAGCAGTTCAGAGTCATCATTATCCTACCAGTCTTACCCTTCTTTATATTCTCCCGTCATTTTGAATCCCAAGCGCAGAGAGGAAAGGTCAGTAGGTGATATGATGATAACAAATGTCACATGTCATCTGATCGTAAAAATCAAGGCATTATATAAAGTCCATGAAATTTTCAAATTGAAACCAGTGAAAGCAAGCGCGTTTATCTCGGAATTTCCGCAATCAGTATTTTGTTGACATGACAAAAATTACATCGTGTAATATAATGTGTGTTCCATTTGGATTCGTTGATAGATTTACACAATGTGGTATGAATATAAGTCACCCCTGTGAATTCTGCATTCGTGAACGGATTTTTCTGAAATTTGGTACACTTATATAAGCAACCATCTCGGATTTGATCACATTACAATCCAATATGGTGTACCTCCACCTTTCTGGAAATGCCAGCAACTTTGTTTTTCCAAATGGAACACTCTGTATATCTTCATATATTCAAGTTCAACAGGTTAAGGCAGGTGCAATCTTCAGGTCAAATTTCATTATTGTTAGTATACGAAGTTAACTTTTGTTTATGCTAACATATGCGTTCGATCTTTCGTGGTTATAATGTATCCAGTATAGTATCTAAGCCAGTCTGAGATTTGTTTTGGTTCTTCTTCTCTTTATTTCTTCTGGGACAGTACTGCTGCCGAACCCGAAGAAGGGTTCAGGCTCCACAAAGATTCTTTGAGGCCCTTTTCCAGCGGATTTGTACGATAATTTATTTCCGTCTTCTTCGTCAGGGAACCCATTGAGGGGTGACTAGTATTTCTGTTTGCTATAGCTTGTTCAGTTTTTCGCAGCATTCCCAAACCATTTTACCGCTTTAATGGCTTTTTGGATATCCCAATATTTGAGGAAATGGATCTTATTTCTTTCTTCATGATGAGAAGAATACCTGAGTACAGATCTAGCTGTGTATTGAATATGAGCCTGACCATGCAACTATAGATGAATATACAAGGTGTCCCAGAACAACGTACCATAAATAACAAGGTGAAGTAAAGACCAAATTAGGCCGATTTATATCAGCCCACCTCTACACGAAAATGCACCATTGAGGGTCGATGAAGAAACATTATATTTCCAGTTTCTTAAATATTGGGGAATCCTTGGAAGGTACTACCATGAAATTCGTACGACAATTCACTAAAGTGAATGTGCATAGAAAACATATCGTACCAATTCAATTCATCCCTGTATAGGTGAGTTAGGTATTCCGCAATAATCAATGTTACTTTTTTGGAGTACGGCACTGGATGACAAAATCAATCATCTCCCTTTTTTCTAACAGCTGTGTTTTCATAAGTTTTTTTGGTATTCGAGATATCTTACAAAATTCAGTTTGGTGCTCATCCATACTTGTTAATGATTATGCCGATTATCATGTTTTGCAAGTTTTGCCTGATTTGTGTTGAGTTATTGACCACAATAATTATGTTGATGAATTACTAATCTATTCATTCTCGAATGAACTTTTTTTACCAGGAATCTTGGAATGACATTTAGAAATGACCATCAGCTCCCAAATCATATGATGAAGAGCTTGCGAATTGATAAAGATGATTATTACGGTCAATAACTCTAACTCTAACTAACACGAATGAGGTAGAAACCTCGGTAGAAACGAGCAAATCATCAATGAGTCGTTTGTAGAAGCACCAAAATGAATTTCGTTGTGTATCCAGAAAACCAAGGAAAATAATCAGAAAATCGCAGTTAGATGAAGGTGAAATATTTGATTTTGATATTCTTTCAAATACCAAAATGTTATCAGTGCCGATATATCAAACTGTATATTGGTCGAAATGGTACGACATGTTTTCCATGCACATTCACTTAAGAAAATTGCCCTACAAATTACAGAGCAGAACCTTTCAAGGATTTCGGAATATTGAACGAAATCTGGAAATAAAATTGTTCTTCATGCCCTCTCACGGCTCAACGGTGCATCTTCGTATATATTGGGTTGATTTCAATCGGCCTATTTTGGTCTCTAGTTCACCCTGTAGAATTTGTCGTACTTCATTATGGGACACCCTGTATATACATGATTGAAAATATCTACCATTCTGTCGAAGATTAATATCTTACAGATATTGATGATAGCTGTTATATATCACAAATGGCATTGATATGTGTTGAATAAGTCACCACCAAAGTAGCTATATCACTTTGACAAACCAAAACACCTTCAATTTATAATGATCTTGAACACCTTTACTGCAACTATTATTCATTTCTCAAAATAAATCATAACTAATATCATACGCCACGGAAATATTCCATAAAATTTATGATGTGAAATTCATTTCTCATCAGAGTACAAAGCAAGAGATAGTGAAAACCCAAAAGCCCAATCCATCTCTCAACATCTATTTTCATAATTATAGTAATGAATCTTTTAGTGTGTGTGATTTAGATGTCAGTATGGATATTGTGTGGTTAATATACTCATTTAATTTTAGCTTTTGTTGTTTTCGAAAGAAAGTGCGGCTGCAAATAGAAATAACAGTGTCATAGGTATGGGTTTTGTTCCAGTTCTGTTGAATGGGCAAGTCTGTCAGTCTCGATGGATCAAGATGTGGTTTAAGTTGTTGTTGGTTTTGAACACCATCCAATTCAAATGATATCAATTATGATGGGTCAATTAATGAAACATGATTAACAGAATACCAGAACGTAAGACTAATAGGCAATGAATATAAAGACAAAATGCTCATTTCGGGACCAAGGAAGTTAAGAACATGATGAATTTTCATCAAATTCAACTGAAATTCTTAGGCAGAAAAGGAACTTGTTTGATGCGCATATTATTCCTGTATATATTTATATAGGTACTTACCCATAATATAATATTCTGATGAAAGTTTATGACTTCTTCATGTCATCCTACGTAACAATGAGGTAACACTTGGGATCTGAACAATTACACTAGCTGTATTAGAGTCCCATGGAAGTTCACAGAAACAGCAAGGTGATGATAGGCGGACAATATATGTTCATTTGTATATCAATATCGCAGAAATATCAATTTTTCTTCAAGATCGAGCCAATATGTCGTTTAGATACTTAGTATACATTATGTATGCTCTCCTGGAGGATATCAGCAACATAATGTATCAAGAATATTGGAAACTATATATTCGATGCCCTAGAACCAACCAACCAACCAACCAACCAACCAACCAACCAACCAACCAACCAACCAACCAACCAACCAACCAACCAACCAACCAACCAACCAACCAACCAACCAACCAACCAACCAACCAACCAACCAACCAACCAACCAACCAACCAACCAACCAACCAACCAACCAACCAACCAACCAACCAACCAACCAACCAACCAACCAACCAACCAACCAACCAACCAACCAACCAACCAACCAACCAACCAACCAACCAACCAACCAACCAACCAACCAACCAACCAACCAACCAACCAACCAACCAACCAACCAACCAACCAACCAACCAACCAACCAACCAACCAACCAACCAACCAACCAACCAACCAACCAACCAACCAACCAACCAACCAACCAACCAACCAACCAACCAACCAACCAACCAACCAACCAACCAACCAACCAACCAACCAACCAACCAACCAACCAACCAACCAACCAACCAACCAACCAACCAACCAACCAACCAACCAACCAACCAACCAACCAACCAACCAACCAACCAACCAACCAACCAACCAACCAACCAACCAACCAACCAACCAACCAACCAACCAACCAACCAACCAACCAACCAACCAACCAACCAACCAACCAACCAACCAACCAACCAACCAACCAACCAACCAACCAACCAACCAACCAACCAACCAACCAACCAACCAACCAACCAACCAACCAACCAACCAACCAACCAACCAACCAACCAACCAACCAACCAACCAACCAACCAACCAACCAACCAACCAACCAACCAACCAACCAACCAACCAACCAACCAACCAACCAACCAACCAACCAACCAACCAACCAACCAACCAACCAACCAACCAACCAACCAACCAACCAACCAACCAACCAACCAACCAACCAACCAACCAACCAACCAACCAACCAACCAACCAACCAACCAACCAACCAACCAACCAACCAACCAACCAACCAACCAACCAACCAACCAACCAACCAACCGACCAACCGACCAACCCACCAACCGACCAACCCACCGACCGACCGACCGAGTTTCACACCCATATTATTATGTAGTCAAAATTGAAACATCTATATAGAACATTTTGTTCGAAGAATTCTTCTTGGTATGGCAATGTCACTTTGGAATTCTCCACCTACCGACGTATTTTCCGAAATCTACAACCTGTTGATTTCAAGACAAGAATTTCCATGAAACAAGGTATTAAACTCTTCTTGAAAACGAGGCGTCTCTCGAATCTTATTATACCTAAGCTGATCAGATTCCTGCCTCCACAAAATATCACTGCCGAATTTCAACACAATTGGGTGAAGGATATTTCCTATAAGTACCTTTACAATAACAAGAATCAGTTTTTCAATGAAAGTTTGACACCCTGTTTGTTGAATGCCTGGGAGATCATTAATTTGTTTTACCAATTGGAGAATCTCACGTATTTAGTTTAGTTTGATGCCACTGGCATCTCTGCACTTGTTTATTTTGAAAATTTGATTAAGTTTATAAGTCCTGTAATCTGGGGCGACATATCATTTCTAAATTTGTTTCTTGATTACGAATACTCAACCACAAACTGACAAATCTCTGGGAATTAATTGCCAGTCATTTATAATTATAGCTTTCTATTTTGGATTTCCTTAATTTCCCTCGTAATTGTCAAAAAATAGGTAGTCAAAACAAATGTAGTTCTTCGGAGTATAGAAAATGAGTAAGAAGTGTTTGAATCGTTGCATCTGGATCCTTGTATGAAAGAATTCTCAAGAGAATAATATTCTTGCAGTCCATCATTATGAATAATTCTCTTTGCGACCTAGTTGATAGCATACAAAATCATTATCCGCTGAATGTAAAAAATGTGGAATTTGAAGAGGTTTTGTAGCCAATATATGAAATGTCAAATAACTTTTCATTGAGGTGAACGTGACAGACCACTGCAGAGACAAAACTGGAAACATAAACGCTCTAGTTCGGGTATCAATTTCTGATCAAGGATTCGCAAAAGTTTTATTTATCCAATTATTATTGCAATATCGGGAAAACCCTGTATATGTCGTGTACTATCCGTCATTACATGAAAAGAATATTGCATCTCATGAACCGTATTCATTCTTACTATATTATCAAGTTCTGAGGGTGATACTGATCAATGATCCTTATCCCTCAACATGAGATGCCTTTAATTATGCGTCTCATGCGCGAAAATTGATTTTTTTCTCCGATTGGCAGCAAATATTAATTTTGCTGACACATATCAATCAGCAAAGTATTACTTTTCTTGCCTAGGTAGCAAAGTGAGTACTTTGCTGTCTAGGCAGCAAAGTGGTTACTTTGCTGATTGAAATGTATCAGCAAATTTAATAATCCATAAATCGTTTATAATTTCCTTCATATTTCATCCGAGACTTCTCCGGCAACAAATTCAACTCTATATTTTTTGCCACTTCCCTCATTTCTGGAGGTGTAAGTACTTCCAGGTCGCTATCACTGTCCATTATATAATAATTTGAATAATCCGATATTTTTTCGCACAACTGTCAGAAATTTCATGAATTGTCAAACTATAGTTATTATGGACATTTCCATAGCAACCAACCATTCCAACAACTGCGATTTGTATCAAATTTTATTTTGATTGAACATTACAAGAAAAATAAAGAGATATATATCATTATGAACAATCGGAGAAAAAATTATATGTTCAACTCGGCAGCAAAGTAGATTGACTGCCTTAGCTGGATTCCTAGCCTCGCTACGCTCGGCTATGAATTCAGCCTCGGCAGTCAATCTACTACTTTGCTGCCTAGTTGAACAAATAACTATTTTTTATCGCTTGGAGCGCACGAAAGGGAATCCTTATAATGTTCAAAGAACATCGTGCGCTCCTAGGGAGGATAGGGACAGGAGGTAGGTATTGGAACTTTTTTTGAACTTTTGGAGATTATATGTTGTTGGGAATACTTCCACAGGCAATGAATTCCAGAGCCTAGTCGTTCTATGGATGAATGGATGAAGGAGTCTTGATAAAGTGCTGTTCGACATCTTTCGAGGTTAACGACGAAAGGATGTGCTGACTGGGCTTGTCTAGTTCGTCTGATTGGCATTGCTAGTGAAGGGATGATAGCAGAGATTTCCGAAGAACATTTGAAATGAAAAGCATCTCACAAAGTCCACATCAGCCGAAGTTGAAAAATCCATAATAACAACAATTTGGTATGTACTCGATATTGAACCATCAATAATGAGAACACATTTCAAAAATGTGGAACTCACAATACAATTATGTGGAGAAGTTGAGATTCACATGTTTGCCTGTCATGCTGTCAACTGTTAATTAGGTAGGTAACCTATACAGTATTCCTCATGTTTGTTGATATTTGTTGTGGTATCTTTTCCCCTCTCAAAGTTTGAATTGAAATTCAGAGATTTTGTTGTTTTCAACTACATCTACTGTTTTTCTATTGGAGAATGTTCCCTCGACCATGTCCCAATACTATACTACAGTTTATTTATGAGTAACTCTTTCAAAACTTCCTATATATTAGTCACATTATCTCACTGAACATACAACATCCACAGTTCCTCTATTCATTCAGGGTAAACCAAAAACCTAATTCACAGGAATACCTATACTACATTTTGAGTTTTTTAAGTTTCAAAATGTTTTTTCTGCGTCGTGTAGGTCCCATTTATTGTTTGTTCTTCGATGTGCTCTGAACATGTCACCATTATCCATTTAGAGAATCGCAGTTTTGTACAAAGTTTGTGCCCTTTCTTCTTTAACTACATCATTCCATTCAAACTGAGATGTCAATTTCGCAAGAAAATAGTGTCCATATCTTGCTCGGAAGTTTAGTCATCCTATTGCTTGTGTATCCTATTCCGCTTGGCTTGTCGTTTTTCGTAAGCCATATAAGTAATACATCTCGATATCATCTGCCTCTTGAAAATGTTGCAATTTGTTTTTGAGAAAATCAGGCATTGAACCGATCTACAAGAACAAAATGAAACATCTGCCACAAAGTCGATTCGGAAATAAAACGCAAACTATGGACAACGCATAACATTGAATGATCTGAATAATAAAACACGTCTCTACGGAGAAAGGGACAGACAGAATGAAACAATATTAGTTTCAGAACAACGTCGTATAGGCATATCGTCAGTCATCCGTGAAATTCTTAGCGACAACTTGCCTGATTCTTTTATCCCAGAGGACATTTTCCCAGTGTCAAGACAGATGAGCATCAGAGAGGATCAAAGCGAAGTAGATGGTGAGATTATACAAATATAGTGTAAGGGGACAGGACTGGTAATTAGTTATTATTGTAGTTCAATAATTTTTGGGATGTTGTAATCCAATTACAAGACGCAAGAAATTTATAGGCAAGAAATACTTATTATACAGGGTGTCCCAAAACTCAACGTCATCCTTTGGAGGGCTGATAGTATACAGCTCATAAATAGCCATATAACCATACCATAATATGGCCTTAGTGAAATATTGATAGTTCTGGAGATATTGGCACTTTTATGGATTTCAGAATCATAAACTATGAAGTTTTGTATCTGCGGTACTCGAAATACTGATCGAAAGTTACTGAAAGGTTTGAATTGTTCATGTAATTCGGACATAGCAAAAATGTAGTGTGCCAAATCTGCTGAACTCGCTAAAAAGAGATGATTGCAGCTGTCGACATCGTTTCGAGCTGCAAGCATGCAACAAACATACACTAGTTACTGGTTGCACAAATAACTATTTTTCTGTGACGGGAAAAAAGTTTGGCATTTCATCTCTGTTGGCAGGTTATAAAATGTCACTTTTCATAAATTACTTTTTTCCCGTGGGAAAAAAGTGAGTACTTTTTTCCCGGATATATATCACATATATATACTGTTAATGGCTTTTGTTGTGCTATAGTTCCGAAAAATGAGTCAATAATACCGTCTCCGAGAAAGAACTGCAAGTCCTTTTATCTTCCATTCGACTTCGCGGTTTCGTATATTACTAAACAACTACTGAATTCGCAATTTTTTAAAATCAAATCACAGAATTGAACTGACAGAAGTATGACATCAGATATTTGATTACTTCAAAAGAATGATAAAGATGCCTATAAAACGCAGGTGTCCCTACTGTTAAAAACTTGAAATTTCACGTCGATAATTTTCAGATATCGAAATAATGTAATATCTTCTCAATATTGATTCGTCCTTCCTTCTGTCACAGAAAAAAATAGTGTATTATACACGGGAAAAATATTAGATTTTAGCTCACGGTTTTTTGTCTCCCTCCGCTACGCGTCGGGAGACAACACAACCTGGAGCTAAAATCTACTACTTTTTTCCCTTGTATAATAAATAACTATTTTGAACCTTCACACCCTATTTCAAAAAAGCCTTTTCCTCTAGCTTCATCACTGCTGATGTCAAGTTTGAAAGTTCAGAATTTTGTACAATGTTGTCAATCATTATTCATGGCCATCTTTGACCGATAAGTATCCTCCATACCGCCTTTTCTTCCAGGGCTCCAATACCAGCCAGGCAAATCAGAAACGAACGAGCAAGAAATGTTGACAACATAAATATGGACTTCACAACAATTCTCGAATGGGGATCCAATAACTTGGTAGATTTCAATGCAAACGAAACACAAGCATGCCGTCTCTCTAGAAAAGCCGATCTCACTGTGCCCAACATAAGCTTGTCAGGAGTAACCATACCTTTAAAGTCATCCATTTCGATGCTTGGTATTACTATCAGCCATTACCTTTCTTCGGGAAATCACGTGAGATCAATTGCTAAAAGTGCATCCCAAAAACTTGGTTTTCTGTTTCGGGCCAGGAGCTATTTTACTTTCAGTCAGCTGCTTATGATTTATAAGGCACAGATCCGACCTGTCCTGGAATATTGTTTCCATATCTGGAGTGCAGCACCCAAACATACCCTGAAACTGTTGGATTCTGTACAAA